AAAAACAAATTTTTAATAAAATAATTTTTATTTTAATATTACATCAAAAGACTTTTAATTACCTTTTCAATCATTCAAAACATTTCTAAATATAAGCTTTTTAAAATATTGAAAATTTCACGTTTACGCTACGTGAATTCCGCTAACATGCTTTCCATGCATCTCTGTAAAAATATTGCGATTAGTATCACTGCAATTGAAATGTCACTTGAGAAAAATTTCTGCTAATTTCTGGGTAATGGAATACACACAAAATGCATTCAACAGATTTTCACCTGACAGTTTGAAATGTATGCGAAGTTATGCGAAGTATGCATAATCAGGAATAGTATTATTATTCCTTGCAGTTCCCTGATGTGCATACATACATACATATATCCACCTTTGGAAAGGCGTGCCAATACATACATATGTCAGTAGGTGTGTATGCATGCATAAAAATAACTAAATTAATATGGAAATCATATTATCTGATTCAGCTCAATGCTACCGGTCATAATATACATACATACATACATACATATTTCGCTCATTAATGAATTAAATTCAAAGCCTGCTTTGTAGCATTTGCTTTAGTAGTCGCCAGCACCTACATATAGTCAGCGTTATAGCTTTCGAATATTAACAATGCACGGAGTGAACACATATCGCTTGCGAAAGCGCATTTCGCGAGTGCTAATTAAAGCTACATTTGTGCTTTCCATCTGCTTCGGCCTGCTGCCGTTTTACTACAACCAGCAACAAAAGCGTTTCACAACTTCGAAATCCCTTACTATTTACAACATATTTATAAATATTTTATTCGCAGCAATAATGGTATTTGTTTTGCAAATATTTTCTAATGCCGAAGATCCTTTCCAAACGCGTGATCCACTCGCTGAACTACTCAATCAAATGGTAACGTATGTCAGCTTTTGTGCGATACTCATTACGTGGTGGATCAATTGGACTGGCCGTCAGGAACTGCAAAGGCTATTCAATGAATTTGCCGCTATCGATGCTGATTACTTTTATCGCTATCCCAATTTGGTCAACGAATGCGCTCATTTCGACTCGTACTTGATTTGGAAAAGTGCTACAATTTTACTACAGAATGCTTCGGCGCTCGCCAGCATGTGGCTGCTTGTGGATGCCGGTTGGTTATTTATTCTGTACATTTGCCTAACAACTGTGCTTACAAATGCACTCTTCCTGGTATTGACGCATTTCTTCATCGCCGTATTGTATACATATCGTTTCGCTTGGGTATCGAATATGCGGCTGCAAATAATGGCGGACAGTGGCAATGAAGTAGTGCAACGCGCTCAATGCCGGTTCGTAAGCTTGGAAATCGATGCTATTGCACACACGTATTTGCGTTTGATACGCTTATGTGAGGGCTACACAAGAATACATCAATATCAGCTTTTATTGGTGGTCGGCTGTATAACCGCTTGCAATATCGAGGTACTATTTTATATGCGACTTCTGTGGAGCGGCAAAGCGTACGAGATGGATGCGTCGAATATTTTTGGAATAATACAAATATTATTCGTAAATTTATTGGACCTTTGGCTGACAATAACAATTTGTGAGTTGGCGGTGGTAACTTCGCAGAAAACATTGCAAATACTGTGCGTTTTTAATGAAAAACGGGACTTGGCGGTGCCTGTGGAACGAAGTGTATGAAAAATATTTAAGTTTATTTTAGCAAGAATTGAACTTTTGGTTTTTTGCAGTTGGAACGTTTTGCCTTAATTTGCTGCAGTAAAAAGTTGCGTTTCCATTTGTGTGGCATAGTTGAAATCAATCACCTTACTGGCTTACAACTTTTATTTACAATGATATTATATCTCATCTACTTAGTGCAATATTACCATGACAATTTGTAAGGTACTGTAAAAAGGTGTTAGCATAACTGAATTTGTATTAAGTAAATTTTTAATGATTTTATTTCGTTATTATATTATAATATTATAAACACAGATTGGTGCGTGTATAGGCAAGAGTACGAGAAACAATTACCTCAAAAGCTTTAAGGCCCACCAGACAAGAAAGTTACTCATACGCAACGTACACCTGAGTAACAAGATTTTCTGCAAATATTTCATACAAAAAATCTTTGCGTATTTTCATTTGTCCGCTGATTACTACTTTATTTATCCCCCGCCTTCCTTTATTAGTAACTTGATTTTTTTTTTTATAACAGAACAGGCTTTAGTACAAATGCAAAAACTTGGCACACAACCTGTTATTTCTTAAGTTTTTCATCTGTTAAAGTTTAATTTTTTTCATTTTTTTATAAAAAAAATAAAAAAACTGAAGTGATTAATTCATTTGTCAGAAACTATCAGTCCTATCGGAAAGTGATGTATGTACATGGTTTATGGAGAATTTTACTAGCTTTGATTTGATGTATCTCATTTTAAGATTGTTAATTTGGTTCATAAGATATAGGTGATTAAATGGAGCCACTTTTTGTTTTAAGCTGAATAACGGTAAATTGCAAATATCTCGAAAATGTATCAATGGAAAAAAGTTAAGCCGATTTTCGGAATCCCCGAGCAATTCTACATAGCAATTGAATAGTGGCGTCTGGAGAACAAACACCAAACTAAAATTTGTGATCCAGTTTCATTAATCGATTAATTGTAAATAATTCGTAAAAATTTGTTCCAAAAATATGAAATCAATCCATCGAACATTCTTTTTTGCTAGCTGCATCAACTTTACTCGACCCGAGGTTCATAAAAACTTATTTTGAAGATCCGGTAGCATTGGCCTCGGTAATACAGTTCTTGCGAACTTAAATATTATACGCAGATGATTTTATGGAAACGGGTAGCGAGTCGTCACTAGAATCAGTAGAAAATGAGTTCAATCTTTGAGCCCCCCTAAATCTCATGTACACAAACGAAGGCGAAAAGATGATGGAAATGAGTTTCAATGAATTTCAAAACACCAAAATCCGATAACTCAGCAAAATTTGAAAACTCGACTAATTTTCGATAACTGTGCGTTTCAAGGGCTCGATAAATTTCGAAAATTTAAATATATCGACATAAATTGATAGCTCAATAAACTTTGGATATCTCTATAAATTTCGATAACTCGGTAAATTTTTGATAGCTCCATATTTTAAGAAGCTATCGACGAATTTCGGTAGCTCGTTACGTTCTGGTAACACGGCAAAATTCGATAAGCATTGATAACTCGTTAAACTTATATACCCTGGAAATTTCAACAACTCGATAAATTTAAAAAAAAATTCAGTAAATAAATATCGATAACTCGATAATTGCATGGAATTCGATGGATTACGATAAATCGATAAAGTGCGTTAACTATATAAAAAACGATAATTCAAAAAATATTGATAGCTTGATACATTTTATTAACCTGACAAATTTCTATGATCACATAAATTTATATATGTTGCTCGATAACTCTCCATAAATATCGACAAAAAATTTTATGTGCCTAAAAATTTCGACAACTCAAAAAATATTGATCAATTTGAATAATCCGATACTTTGCGATAGCTCGATAAACATGGATAACTAGAGAAATTTCGGTAACTTAATAACTTTCGATAACTAAATTTTGTATGACTGAATTTATTCCAATTCCTATCGAAAAACTTGCTCTTGAAATCTATTCGGTAAAATCACCAAACGAACTGTGACAAAATTTATGTTAGCGTATTAATGTATAGAATATGTATGTACATATATGTGGTGCGCAAAGGCCCAATAAATATGTATGTGATTTGCCTAAATGTTCATTGTCTATGTTGGTCAGACGCTTTTTTCTGGTCTCGGAAATCAAAATGTCAATAAATATATATTTACATAGGGGTGTATCACTCTCAATCAAAAAATAAACGCTATAGTTTTCGCATCGGAATTATAAAATTATTTTATTTTACTCGTCTTATTCATAAAAAATAAATAACTTTACAAAATGTTTATAAATTAAAAAAATTATGAAAACGTCAATTTATAAAACTTTTTAAATCTACTTAATTTTTTATGAATAAGGCCACATGGGGATTTTTGTGGGCTGCACCGTTTTGAAAATACCTCTGAAAATCTCATTTTTCGATTCTGTACAAAAAAAATTTATATTTTTATTCAGACCTTTTAAACTTCAACTCATCTATTATCTGCGGTAATTTTTTGTAAAAAAAATTTTAAAGGTTAACTTGAAAAAATCGATTTTTGGAGATATTTCAAAACTGGTTCAACTCACGTAAATTTTAATATTTTTCCCGAAATATCGTGGCCTGACACACAAAATATAATGGATTTATAATTTTTTTTTTTTAGTGAGGTATCCTAATGCACGTCTGGTATAGCACTCTGGAAAAATACAATTTTACTTTTCTGGACGTTGAACGCTTATCGACGCCTTCAACACATTTTCGACTGTTAGAAACACCTGGTATTTTATGTACTGTACAACAAAATGTATATAAAATATTTATGTAAGGAGGTACGAACACACTCGCATGTATAGAAATCTCTATTAATTATGTAGTGGCTATGCAGTTGCCTATACATATGTATATTCATGCTTTGCCCACTCAAGTGCCTAAATAATATTTTTTAAGAAAATAACCATCAGTACTCTCATTGGCTGTGAAAATGCACACATTTCAAAGCGGGCGCCGAAAACTTGCAAATTTTTTAGAATATGCAACTTTTGAACTTTCATTCATTTTCGGTTTATTGCCATTCAAACACGACAATAGGACTGGAAAATTTCGATCATCTAAAGCAGCGCTGATTTATAGTTGCCTATTGAACTCAATTATTTTCTTTTGTTGTACAAAATATTTGCCCGATATATCGAACGATGAGTTGTTAATACAAAATTCGCTGCTTATCTTAATAGACAATACTATGTTATACATCAAATACGGTGCGTGGGCTATAATATTTTACAAAATCTGGAGCGGCAAACATCTCTTGTTGCGGCTGTATAGAGAAATCGCGTCCATAAAAAAGATGTGCTTCAAAATGGCTTTTATCTGCAATTTCGGCAGCAGCAGCAGCAGCAGCAGCAGCACTAAAGACAAACGGATTATATGGAAATTCATTTTAATGGTATTGGATATAATATTCTTTGTCATAACAATGTTGACTTCCAAATTTAAGAAAGATTGCCTTTACATCTTTCTGATAATTTGTGGTGTTGTGATCTTAACTGAAATCGATTTGATAATGAATCAATTCTATCACAATGTACTGTATATAAATGATGTTGTAACGGCCATAAACAATCAGCTGCGTAGCCTGAGAACAAGCAAGCATTTGGCAGCTGGTAAAATTAATGAACTAAATATTTTGTGTTTACATACGTTTGATGCGTCTGACGGCGAACTTAATGGCTGCCTACGAACATCAGTTATTTATTATTATCGCATGTAGACTATTTATTACCGTACAGAAAATATCACAGATTTGCCTGACGTTTGGCGGCAAAGAATTGCATTCGAATACGATGGGTGTTATGTTTATTCTGCATATCGTTTTCTCATTTTTGTTGAAACACTGAACTTTTATGAGCGCTTGCGAATCGGTGCTTAGATCTCAGCAGCAAACTGAAGCGGAGTTGCGAAAATTCAATAACTTATGCATTCGAAATGCAGACCTATCAAAGGAAGTAAGTGCCTATTTATATATGTGTAGAGAATTTTCTGTAACTAAGGCAAATTTATAAATTTTGATTGCAGTTAAATACCTTCACAATATTTTGCGCTATTCATCGCTTTCGATTTCCGCTGTGTGGAATGGTCGAAATAAATTTCATCACCGCACGAAATTTGTGTATGCTGGTACTAATGGCATTGCTCTGGCTAATCCAATTTCAGTTGGTCACGAACAAAGTTGGGTATAAAAAGAATTAGCAGAGGGTCTCTACTAGAGGCTACCTACATATATTTAAGCTACACAATAAGTGTGTTTGTTGTTTGTCTAACAGCCCTATTCCAAGTAAACACAAGGGGGCCGCAACGGTTAAGTGATTCATAATAAAAATTACAATTTAACCATTAAAATTGAATTTCCATTTTCTGATTAAATTATCGTTATTTTTGGATTTTTATTTTTTTCTATAATTTAATTTTTTTCTTTTTCTTGGTCACAATATAACCGTCTTTTCGATTTGCTTTTGTGTGTCATAAAATATTTAAATCGATTATAAAAACTCTGTCCCCAACGTAACGGCTAAAACTTAAGGAAAAAATAAAAACCCTAAAAATTTCGACTTTGAAATGAACTAAAAATAAAACTCTTGAGATTGAACGGTTATTTTTGGTCACTGTCTTTTAACCCTAGGCTTACCGCGGAAAAAACTAGCATTTTCTTCTGTTCGGGTCCATTGGAATTTGAATGTGCCCACTGTTTTCAAGCGATGAATATAAAATTCACTCATATGCCATGCAGGTATACTTATACCAGTACTCTATTTCGGAGCCTTTACGCTCATAATTAGCTCATCTAAGAGTCCGAAATGAAGGCCGTTCCCTTCCTCTGTAAAAGTTGACTTTTATGAGCTTAAATTTATACATATACTTCAAATGAACTTGATTTGAGTCATATTGGACTCTCATTGGCCTTATATACGGCTTAGTTTGGACTCTTTTAAGAAGATTTTTGGCCTCATATATGAATAGATTCTTTTGAGGCTATTAAATGAATTTTATTGGCCTCTTAATTGGCTACTTACGCAATATTATTTTAGGTTATATTTTGAGTATTATTATTTGCCTTCTTCCTTGACTTTCATTCAACTTACTTTCGAGCCATGTATGCAAAAATTTCTTCAAATACATAGCATATCTGTGAAGTTTCAAAGGCGTGTCACCAATATAATATATCAAAGAATATCTGCCGAAGCTTTTTTATAATTTTTGAATCTCAACGATTTTTTCATGCCAAAAAATTTAAGATCCTTTAAATTTTCAACAGTAAGGGGTGAAAATATTCTTACGAAACGAACCAATTCAGAGTAATAAAACTAAAAAATTAATAGATATTGATATGATTTGCGAAACAAAAATTTCTATTCTTACATATTTATTTCTACCCTCGAAATTCATTCTGGAATTGTTGTATACATGAAGAATACTCTAGAAATGTTTATATTTAATTACCTTTAAATAATATGGCTGTGTATGGTACTACGGATCGTATACCTTACATACATAACTATGGGTGTATGAGCACGAATTGAAATTCTGACTTTTTAACCGGCTTCATAAAAAGGAAAGGTATCTTACCGCATAACTTTGGACCACGTTAACCGATTTCTATTATTTTTCATTCTTTTTTAAGGAAAGGTGGTGCCTCATAGGTAGTCTCATACTAATTTTGTTGAGATCTGATCGTTGGATCATGAAGAAATTAACGGTACTCTTACATTTTTATATGAGAATTGAAGTCGGTCTTGTTTTTTGCTTAACAATTATTTGTTTAGTATATCTTTTTTAAGTTTTCATGTAAATACAGTTTTGCGATGGATATTGTTTTCTATGCAAAACTGATATATGTATGTCAAGATGGATTCTCTAAGATGAGCGTGCCACCATTTTGAACCAAAAACACGTTTATGTCGAACTCCGTTTGGACTCATCTTTCGGAATTTTTCGGAACATTTCGGAATTTTTGGATTAATTCGGGACTTCTCGGGAATTCTAAACTACATAAAACTTGATTATTTACTACAAAATAAGTACCTAAATACTTTTGCCATTAGCAACTCGTATTTACTAAATACAATGTTGCCCATAACTGCAAGTTATTATAGCGGTCTAAAGAGCCATTTCGTATGTTTGGAACAATTGAGATCAAATTCTAAATTAAAAAAACCACTAAAAATTCAAGCAATTAAAAAAAATTAAAAATTGTATGTTTGAACCCCATTTTTAAGGTATGATTGAACGAAAAATTATTTTGATTTAAAACCAACCTTCAAAAGTAAAAACTTAAATTTTTTCAATGAACTTCTTTCTGAAAAAAAAAAATTTAAATCGGTTTTTAGTTTCTGCGGCCATAGAAATACATAAGTTCCTTGACACAGGAACAAAAAATATGTGCTTAAAACTTTTTAAAAAGTCCAACATATACAGCTTTCAAGCCAAAAAAGCAACAATTTTAAACCTCTTATATTCGAAGGTCATTTTAAAGGTCTAGATAATTATTTTATTCATCAGGTTAATTCTTTTTAAATTATCCAGCTCAAAAGCTTTAAAACACCGTTACATTTATTTTACTGTCTCTTCTCGTTCTCGAGATATTTCGTTTTGTCATTTTTTCCCTAAAAAGAACACTTCGAGGCATCTCCAACCAAATTTCCTGCCGGGTTTACACATTTCCTACAAGGTGCATTCATTCTTATCACCAGATCTCTAGTCAGCGCTTATAAATTAATTATATAGTTGCTGTCCACACACTTATCGACTCATAACCTATTCACTCATTTGCCTAAAATATTTTTTAATAACAAAATTCAGAGCATGCGCAAAAACGCATATTTTATAGAGTACGCCAATCTTGAACTGTCATTAATTTGTGGATTATTGCCATTCAAATACAGCAAGCGAACTAGAAAAGTCCGATCATCTTAGGTAGCGCTAATTTACAGTATTCTAGTAAATTCATTTATATTGATTTGGGTCATAACAAATTGGCCGGATCTGTTGCACTATGAATTCTATAAATACAAATCGTTGAATCGCAGTAGCATATTCGAATTGCATCGCTTGGGCTATACTACTCTACAATACCTGGACTGGCAAGGAGCTTTTGTTTCGGCTGTACCAAGATACCGCGGCAATAAAGAAAATGTGCCTCTCATGAAATTTTGTACGCGAGTTTGACAGCAACGGTATGGTAAAAGTTTTAGTAATTTGCTACAATCGAAGTTATTTTGGTCACAGTTGAATACTTTCACATTTTTTTCCACCATCCATCGGCTCCGATTTCCTCTATCTGGCATGACTGAAATAAATTCATCACCGCAAGAAAACTTTATGCATCGGTATAAACTGCTTAGATCAGGTTGGTGCAGTATGACTTTATTACTAAAGTTTAGAAATTAAATTTGAGAAAAAAGAAAGATCAAACAAACATATGAAAGTGGCATTTTGTAGGTCTGTCAAAAAATTAATTAATTTAGGTTTACCAATTTGAAAATGAAAACGATTTTAATTTGACTGGCATCGAATATGTAGTTATACAAAAATTGCCTCTCTTATTTCATTCATTAATCAATGCATTGGTATAGTAAGATTAAAAAATCCTTTGTAGTATAACAGTAAAGGCTTAACAATTAATAAGTAGGTATACATATGTATGAGAGTAAATCTCACTAGTTGTTAAATTTTTCGTCAAAAACGTGTTTTGAATTCAGAATGGTGGCACACTTATCTTACATCTTGCAATATCTTTTGTCTTGTATAAAGATCAAGATTTGATCGCGAAATTGTATTTGTAATTGTAAATCATTAAAAATATATACTAAAAATAACAACTCGTGCTAATATACCCGTAGTTGAGTATGTAACGCATACTCCTCGTAGCACCATACTCATCAAATTGTAATGTAGCGCAAGTTAGACTTGATCCTTTAAAGCGGTTTAGAAATAAAAGCGACTGATGCTTTGTATTTTGACGTTTTGGAATGCACACCCCCCCTAGGTACTAGGGACTATCTGATGGCTAACCTAAGGTGAGTCTGAATTGCTGCAGGGCGCGTACCAAGCATGCAGACCATGCAGGGAAACCGCGAACTGGTGAATCTAATTTCTAGTTCCGTACTAGATATTTATCGCCAAAAACAAATAGTGTTGGAAAAACGAAAAAATAGAGTAAATAAAGTAAGTGCCAGTTTTTAAACGCTGTTTATTCCTATAGTAACATTCAAATTTATTTCTCCAAAGTTTAAATTAAGTAAAAATCAGAAAGACTTTCATTTATCATTTTTAAATTGAAAAATTGATTTTTATCAAGCAAAGGCCGCTTCTATCTCATAAATACATTATAGAAAAAGAGCGAAAACTTTTTAAAATGTCACGTCCCTATTTTTTCCCCCGTCACCGTATGTAATCGCACACTTACATATGTATGTACGTCTGTCTTAATTAGTTAATTAATTAAAGTCCCGCGTGGATGATTGGCTAATAGTTTGCAGTTCACAGACTAACAAACCGAATTTGCGAGCATTAAATATTCATAGTAGTAGTTGGAAAAATAAATGTATAAATGCTGGTAAAACAAGTCTACTTTATGCATGTGTATTTCATGATTGAAGATTAAAGGGAAAAAAAACCTTGCTTAGTTGCATTAAGAAGAGTAACAGAACGGCCCAAGTCCGTCAGACTAGCAAGTGCCATAATGCGTGCTTTTACTTCATACAATATTAGTTGATTCGAGTATCTTCGCCCAGTGCATTAATTCGGTGCTAAATAGTCACAAAATTCACCTAACGCAGTGCTAAATGTGTAAAGAAAGTTCTCTCGGTCAAATGCAAAAGCAAATCAGCATGATGTGGTCGCAATCGCGTGCGAATCTGGCACGATTTATCTACAATTCTATGGTTTGGTTCTCTATTACCATTGGAGTACTGCCATTTCGCTATAACGCAAAATTGAAAACAGTGACACCATCAAAATATTGTCAAGCCTACAGCATTTGCGTTAAAGCACTCATAGCGCTTCTGTGCTTTTATCATTGGTCTTTAAAGGACTTTTTGGATTTGAGTATTTTTCAAGAAAATGATGCGATCGAATTATTAACCAGTGTTATGGTGATGACAAATATGTATGCACTCATCGCAATTTTCATTCTCAACTGGCGTGAATACAGCACTGTGTTGAATATCTTTAATGAATTTGCGGCCATTGAACGCATCTACTACGCGCGACATAGCATTTTAGCGCAGAAGTGTACAACATACGATAATTATATTATTCTAAAAGGCCTAGCCACACTTTTACAAAACATTTCCTTCCTGTTGGTTGTGTTTATTGGCGTTAATGAACCCGACATCTACGCAGTCGGCTTGGTAGGCTTTCTACTAATTTTGAGTAACACAATTTTTGTGGTGGTGTTACACTTTTGTAATTTTACCATAACCACTTACCGTTGTATTTGGATAATGCAACGAAGACTGCAATATATGGCTGATTATGATATTAAGATCGGTGGTGATGCAGCGTGCGTGGCCAATGAGATCTACGAAATCGCAGGAACGTATATGCGTTTATTGAAATTGTGTAAGCAATTTGGCCGAGTTTATGGTCAGCAATTATTGCTTAGCATTTTTGGTATTATGTGTGCGAATATACAGACGCTGTACCTTTTACGCATACTTTGGAGCGAAAGAGTGGTGGAGTTGTCGAATTGGGATATATTTTTTACACTGCAGGCGGTTTTAATAAATATTTTCGACTTTTGGCTGACCACAACGGTTTGCGAATTGGTTTTGTGCGAGGCACGCGACATGGCGCAGGTGCTGAGGTGTTTCGATGAAATTGCACAGATGGATTTGGAGCTGGAAAGAAGTGTTAGTGTTTGTCGGTGCATTTTTGGTAACAATGCGCTTTTTAATTAAAAAAAAATCGAGATACTTTACTGACTATTGATGTTTGCAGGTGGACATTCTTGTAGCGATATGCCGAAATAATTATCCACAATTTCGCTTAGGCGGCTTAATCGACTTGAATCACGACACAGGCCTTAAAACTTTACTGACAATGATTTTGTATTTAATCTATTTAGTGCAATTTAGTTATAATGATTTTTGAAGTTTAATTTTTTTAAAGGATTTGTACTTTGATTCGCTGGGTTTCAACCAGAGCCACAGAAATCATACAATATGCACATTTTAGCGTTTCTATCACAATAACGTACCACCTTAATGTCTGTAAACTAATGCTGCCCAAATATCTTCAAACTTAAAAAAAAATAAGAGTGTTATATTGATTATGTCAGTAGTTTGTATGTAAATAAATAATTTATTTGACGAATTTAGGTGCTTTGGTATATCATTGAAAAACGTAAAATGGCGACCCCAACCTTCGGCAAAAAAAATTAAAAATTCGAAATCTCTTTGCAAAAATACGTTAGCCGCATGGATGTACAGTGAACTTTCTTTCCGGTGTGGTCTAATATCCATATATATGTATATATAAACAAAAGTAATTGAAATCATGATAAAAATATAGTAAGGTAGAACCGCTGAGAATCAGTTTTAAAATTCTTGACGTTTCCGAACAATTTAATTTTTAAATTTACTCATGAGCTCACACACACATTTTCATTTTCAATCTCAAGCAACAACAATTTCAAACAATTTCAATTTTTTATTTTCACTTTTATATGATTTTAAAATGTTGGCAAACTTAAAAAAAAAAATCATGGCCGACAAATTGAGAGAACGGTTCTACCTTGCTATGTTTTTATCATGACTGAAATTGTACTTTTAATATTTTAATTAATTTTGAGACAGTAAACACTAGGGTGTTCGATTATTCGACCTTTTCCAGACCCGGTTTTCGAGTTATTCGAAAAAAGGAAATTTGAAAAAATTCGGTCTTAATTCTCAAATACTTGTAGTTTGTCTGTCGAAAGTCAAACTGGTGGCTTTCTTGGCAGTCTTATCAGCTATTTCGTTACCCTCTATTCCCTTGTGGCCGTACACCTAATAGATATTCAGCCTTCTGTAGGCGGCTAGCATGTCAAGTGGCTTCCCGTCTGCGATGGACGTTTATGGATGAAATACTACACGAGGTGACCGTCTTAACTGCGACTTCATTGTCTACGCATAGTTATGGTAACCATTTGTACCGATTTTGGAGGGACAGTACCGATTTTGAGAAAATTTTCCCGCTGAATATTTTTTTTTAAAGTCGGGACGTATAAGTGTCCCGATAATGTCCAGATTTTCCGTGTCTTCTTTAATAATTTAAAACGAGTCTCCATGTACTCTGACCCAAAAACACTTTTTCTTACCAACGTGTCAGCACCTTCGTTACCACAAATAACATAGAATATAAGGGAGCCATAAACATGTCAGCATCCTTAATTTCTATGACCTTTGGTTATGTTTTATTTCTGTCAAACTGGTACCCTCCCTATATTGGATTCCTTCACTCTTGGCTGAGTTTATTTTTAAGGTTTTAGGAATTAAAAAAAAAAAATAATACTAATTCCCTCAAAAAATTAATGGACATGAAATATATAAGCTGTAGATACAGTGGCCAAAATATAAATAGGTAAGAGACATTTTAGCATTCTTCGTCTATTGCCCTTTTGCTTATTTAATTTGTATTATTTTTTAAGAAAGTGTAGCTCGTCATTTAACAAAAACCATGCAAGTTAAAATTTTTGTACAAAAATTAGCTAAGCTCGACAAAGTTTCATCAAAGTTTTGAGCTTTTTAATTAGATTTCTTAGAAACAATCCGAGTGTTCAGTTTTGTAGCCCATTTAATTCAAAGTGCAAATTTTAAGTAGCTGACTTAAAGCTGGGTTAATCAAGACTTGACTTGACCTGACTTACCTAGACACTTACACGCGATTACTCTGCGTGTCACCTATTGTTTGATTCTCAGCACTTGTATTTATTTGCACATGTACAATTTTAAACATTTAATTTGGTTTTACACCAAAATTTATACAAAATTAAAATTAAAACAAATGTATTTACGCGAATCAAATTGTGACTGTTTTTATTTTATTTTCTGTCTTTATTTGAAAGTTTGTTTTTCGATTGCCAGATAAATTACATTTATACAAAAAATTATATTTGCGTGGCATATTTGTAGGGATTTTATTAAAAAACTAAATGGCTGCATGATTCTCCAACGGCTCTCTTTGCACTTAGGCATTTAACTTAGAAATCAACAATCTATAGTTCTCCAAGTTTCTAAGTGAAGTTGTATTTTGGGTAACTACATACACGCGCTGCTCATTTGTCAGATATACAATTTCCAAGTGAAGTAAAGACTAAAGCAGTGTTTGCATTATTCAACTTTGCGTTCAACAATTGCGTTCAACTCAACGCAGGGTTGCACGAAAAAAAAGTTGAATGGCTAAATGTTGGCTGGCGACCAACTTTGTTGAAAGCGATTAGTTGAAAGGCCATTCAACCAAAAGTTGAATGCAAAGTTGAACAATGCAAACACCTTTTTATGGCGAATATTTTGATATTTTTTCATATTTTGATATTTTTAGCCATTCAACTTTTTTTTTCGTGCAACCCTGCGCTGAGTTGAACGCAAATGTTGAACGCAAAGTTGAACAATGCAAACACACTTTAAGTCATGCATAACAGAGCTTTTACCGTTGATTTTTTTTATTTTTTTTTTTTTTTTTTTGTAGAACGTGTTGCTCATTTCCCCCATACAAAAAAAGGTGACTGTATAAATACCTTATAAAATCCAGTGAAGAGCGTTTACTATTTTTTGTGTTATACCGGTGAAAAAAAAATATAGTATCTATGTACATTTTATTTGAATATATTTTGCTGCGGAATAAATACATTTTTTGTAGTTATGTTTCGATGCACGAAAAGTCTAGTAAGTACTGTAACCGATTGAGTTTTCTCAAGTATGTAACTGTAATTTTCCAATCGTTTCTTTGCTCACTTTGTAATTTGTAAGCAGTGGGCAGTTTATAAGCATTTAGAATATTTGAACTTTGACAGCTCTTGCTACATACCACAGCCTCACCATTCTGGTTAGGTAGTAAGTCCTACCTACACTGAGGGAAATAATGCATAGTAAAAATGGATACTTTATATTTGATTATCAATTAAAACTGTTCGTATTGAAAAACTATACTTTCATACCAAAATTTAGCTCGCACGTATTTGAATGTCCACATCTGAGTATGTATGTGTAAGTTTACATACGCCCTGGAGCAATAATGCGGTCAATTTTCCCGTAAAGGACTAGTACTGCACTGGTTAAAATTTTACTGGGGAGAATTGGACATTTGCTTGCATCGAAAATGTCAGCCGTCGACCAGTCCCCAAGGAACCGGCCTAGAGATAGACGAAAAGTACAGTTTGGCAGTGACAGGGTGGTGTTGTCTTGCAATTCAATAAATAAAATTTAAAGAACACCACCCTGTAAATGTCCCAATCGCTTGGTCTGGCTTTGATGCAAAGTGAACATTTGAACACACATTTACATGCGTGGCTGTAGCCCAGTGCGCAGAGATGCTTGCCACTATTTGTTAGCTTTCAGGAGGGTCCGGGTTCAAATGCCGTCAGAAGCAACATGTTTATAAAATGATAAAATTTTTTTTTTTGTGTTTCCGAATTATGAAAAAGCATCTGCCAAGTGCAGAACGCAATCTTACTCCAACGGAAAAGATCTCCAAAATTGGACTAGTCCAGGACTATCTTACGGTCAGTGTTGATTGGACCGGTCCTTTTCCAATGACACGCCAATGCCAAAAGTGGCAGTTGAAACCATTGGCAGGGGAATTATGGGGGACTAGTGCTGGTACTAGGTACTAGGGACTATCTGAGGGCTAACCTAAGGTGAGTCTGAATTGCTGCAGGGCGCGTACCAAGCATGCAGACCATGCAGGGAAACCGCGAACTGGTGAATCTAATTTCTAGTTCCGTACTAGATATTTATCGCCAAAAACAAATAGTGTTCGAACAACGAAAAAATAGAGTAAATAAAGTAAGTGCCAGTTTTTAAACGCTGTTTATTCCTATAGTAACATTCAAATTTATTTCTCCAAAGTTTAAATTAAATAAAAATCAGAAAGACTTTCATTTATCACTTTTAAATTGAAAAATTGGTTTTTATCAAGCAAATGCCGCTTCTATCTCATACATTATAGAAAAAGAGCGAAAACATTTCAAAATGTCACGTCCTTATTTGTTTTCCCGTCACCGTATGTAATCGCGCACTTACATATGTACGTCTGTCTTAATTAGTTAATTAATTAAAGTCCCGCGTGGATGATTGGCTAATAGTTTGCAGTACACAGACTAACAAATCGAATTTGCGAGCATTAAATATTCATAGTAGTAGTTGGAAAAATAAATGTATAAATGCTGGTAAAACAAGTCTACTTTATGCATGTGTATTTCATGATTGAAGATTAAAGGAAAAAAAACTTGCTTAGGTGCATTCAGAAGAGTAACAGAACGGCCCAAGTCCGTCAGACTAGCAAGTGCCATAATGTGTGCTTTTACCTCTTACAATATTAGTTGATACGAGTGCATTAATTCGGTGCTAAATAGTCACAAAATTCACCTAACGCAGTGCTAAATGTGTAAAGAAAGTTCTGTCGGCCAAATGCAAATGCAAATCAGCATGATGTGGTCGCAATGCCGTGCGAATCTGGCACGATTTATCTACAATTCTACGGTTTGGTTCTCTATTACCATTGGAGTACTGCCATTTCGCTATAACTCAAAATTGAAAACAGTGACACCATCAAAATATTATCAAGCCTACAGCATTTGCGTTAAAGCTCTCATAGCGCTTCTTTGCTTTTATCATTGGTCTTTAAAAGACTTTTTGGATTTGAGTATTTTTCAAGAAAATGATGCGATCGAATTATTAACCAGTGTTATGGTAATGTAAGTATCTCCTGTCATCAAACAAACAGTCAGCACATTCGCGCCTTGGCACCCACGTCACTGTTGACAGTTACAATTTCGAGAAAGTAGAGAATTTCGTTTACTTGGGAACCAGCATTAACACCGATAATAATGTCAGCATTGAAATCCAACGTAGAATCACTCTTGCCAACAAGTGCTACTTTGGACTGAGTAG